CAGCGCCGGGTCCCCAAGCTAGTTACTGATAAATGGAGAAGGTTCTGCAGTAGAAAGAAGGTTTCTCTGTATTTCCTGGCCCTGTTGGAAAGAAGCCCTGGATTATACTTCTGTTTCTTCATGTTCCATACATAATATTTTGTCTTGTTTGTCTATATTTGTTGTGGTTATCGAAACAAACAGAAATGGGCTGTATCTTTAGTTCCAAGTGCTTGAAGGAAAATTTCTATTATCTTCCTAAACCGTGGGTGCCTGAAAGAACTCCATAGATCTTGTTACCATGCTGTGTGGCTGAACGCTTGTCTTATCAGCACAATCTATTTGAACATTATTCTTGAAAGTAAGCGCAGAGTCTTCTAAAAGAGTGTCAGTCTCTCCTCCCTCCGTCATGCTGAATATAATCACATTTCTCTCTCATCACATTATTACCACAAGTGGTGTTAAATGCATTTCTACAGGTGTAGATGCACCTGTAGAAATACTGTGGACTGCTGAAAAGACAGATAAATGAATTCTAGAGCAGTGTTTCTCAACCTTCCTTATGCTGTGACCCCTTAACACACTTCCTCATGTTGTGGTGACGCCCAACCATAAAATTATTTTTATTGCTCTTTTCATAACTGTAATTTATCTTCTATTATGAATTGTAATGCAAATATCTCATATGCAGGATGTATTCTAATTCACTGGACCAAATTTGGCACAAATACCCAATATGAATTTGAATACTGGTGGGGTTGGGGGGATTGATTTTGTCATTTGGGAATTGTAGTTGCTGGAATTTAAAGTTCACCTACAACCAAAGAGCATTTTGAACTCCACCAGTGATGGGATTGAACCAACCTTGGCACACAGAACTCCCATGACCAACAGGAAATACTGGAAGGGTTTGGTGGGCATTGACCTTGAGTCTGGAAGCTGTAATTCACCTACATCCATAGAGCACTGTGGACTCAAACAATCCTCAATATGCCCAAATTTGAACACTGGCGGAATCTGGGAAAGCAGACCCTGAGAT